TTTTTTTTTTTAAAGATTTTTTATTTGACAGAGAGAGCACAAGCAGGGAGGAGTGGCAGGCAAAGGGAGAGGGAGAAGCAGGCTCCCCGCCGAGCAGGGAGCCCGATGTGGAGCTCAATCCCAGGACCCCGGGATCATGACCCGAGCCGAAGGCAGACACTTAACCGTCTGAGCCACCAAGGCGCCACACACACAAATACTGGGGGAAAAAAGATGTCTACTTCTGTGACTGAAAACCTGAGTGATTTTTAATCAAGCCTGAAGTTAGATAGGTAGCCACTGCCAATAAAGATTTTGTTTTAATAAGGAGGCAGGGAATGCCTAATACCAGGGTGAGTGGAAAACACAATCCATCCCCTTGGACTCCAGGGATAAAAATCAGTGGTGCTGACCAACCCAGAGCAGACCCCCTTCCCACTACAGCCCAGTGCTTGAAGTCGCATCTCGAGTTCCCATCCAGTCTCGACCTACTGCCTTGTCAGTGGCCTGGAGCCCTCAGGGACCTCTCACCTGTCCCTTCATATACCCACAAACCTCAGGGAATTATGCCATCAATGCAAAGGAAGACCCGCCCTCTCCAACCCCCCACTACCCTCTCCAACCCCTCATCCCCACCCCATACACCAGGGAGCCCAAAGGACGGAAGGAGGGGCAGACGGGAAATTCAAAAGCAGCACCTACTCAGAAGCCATGAATAAGGCCTGAAGGATGCTGTTCACGTAGCATGTGTTGCCCAGATTGATTAAACCAATCTTGCCCGTGTCTGACTTGGCCATGAGCCGGGGGTAGAAACCAGCCAGCTCACTCTTCTGCGAGGTCCAGGCATCCTGCCCCAGCAGCTGCTTGATGCGATCCTCATTGGGAACATGGAGGTCCTGAGGAGGGAACAAGGCAGCAGGATGGTGGGGACCATGGTCAGCTCTAAAAATATCACTTCCTCTGGGAAGCCTTCTTGGACTACAGCCTACCCCACCCCCACCCAAGCACACTGTCCCACAAATGTCCCAGATACACGTGTTAAGAGCCTTCTGATTCCAAACTTATTCTAGGTTCTCCTTTTGACACTTGGGCCCTCTATATCACCTTTCATGTCACAACTGCCTTAGGAAGGTATAAAATGTCCATTTCATAGATGAAAAAACTAAGACTCAAAGAAATGAATTTTCCAGGGACATACAGACAATAAACGAAAAATCCATATATTCTTAGGGGAGCCCAGGGTATGACAGGCTCTAAGCAATGACAACACAGGCCTACCAGCCAGATCCAACAATGTCAAGATCTCAGGCCTCGTCCTGACTCTTGTCCTAACTAACTGCCTGGCAACGGTCAGTGAGCCTCTCTGACTCCATGTCCTCATTTGTCAAGTGAGGCTACTCCTACTTTGTATCAGTTTGGCACTCCATATTTTCACAGTGCTTGCGCACAATGACGCTCCCACTTGCCCTCCTCCTTTAGGTCTGCCATCAGGTTTAATTAGCCACCAGCCACCAGCCCCCAGCACGATCCCACAGACAGGATGGTGGGAGGGTCCAGGGGTCCTGAGGTATGGGTCCTTGGTCAAGGGCTCAGGGATTAGCATGCTTTCTTTCTCATTCTCCTTTTCCTTAAGATTTTATTTTTATTTATTTGACAGAGAGAGATAGTGAGAGCAGGAACACATGCAGGGGGAGAGGGAGGGGGAGAAGCAGGCTTCCCGCGGAGCAGGGAGCCCGATGCGGGGCTCGATCCCAGGACCCTGGGACCATGACCTGAGCCGAAGGCAGACGCTTAACGACTGAGCCACCCAGGGGCCCTCTCATTCTCCTTTTTTACATTAAAACAGATGCACCTAAAAGAACATTACCCAGCACGGGTTCTAATCTATTTTAATGAAAAACACCTAAGCATAATAGAGTTACTTAATAGATACAAGCACCATTCCTCTAAGCCCTATCGTTTCCAGATCCTGAGCACAGACCCTAGACTGGTCCAAGCCTCCAGAGTTTCAAACCATGTTAGCACTGAAGGCCCTGGTCTCCCCAGCATACCATCTGGCCATCGCAGAAGGTCCAGCTCAAGCAGTGGCTTAACACTTCTGCTCACTCATTTCCCAGGAACATTTATCAGATCAGTCACCTCTCACAGATGATAAAAAACAGAGGAGCTGCCAAAGGCAAGATAAAAAAGATACAGGCTTGGGGCACCTGGGGGGCCACAGATGGTTAAGGGTCCAACTCTTGATTTCGGCTCAGGTCATGATCTCAGGGTCATGCAATAGAGCCCTGCTTAAGATCTCCCTCTCCCTCTCCCTCTGCTCCTCCCCATCTCTAAATTAAAATAAAGGGGGGGCTCATTATTTTCTTAGTCCCTCCTTTTTTCTTCCTATTGTCCCCTATCTAATCCCCACCCCATACACAACATGAACAAACAGGGACAAAAAGGCAGAAAAACAGAACCTCACACATGTGCACACATGCACGATGCAAAATTATCCACACTAGAAAAAAATGTCATTTTTCCCCAAAGAAGGTAACTTGGTACTCTTACAAAAATAAAACAGAACTATGAAATAAGTTTCAAGCTCCTCATGTGACATACAATGGCTCCCTTAGCAAGAAGCACAGCTCCCAGAAAAACTGCCTGAGAGAACTTTTCAGAATTTATTTATAGGGGCACCTGGGTGGCTCAGTTGGTTAAGCGACTGCCTTCAGCTCAGGTCATGATCCTAGGGTCCTGGGATCGAGCCCCGCATCGGGCTCCCTGCTCGGCAGGGAGCCTGCTTCTCCCTCTCCCACTCCCCCCGCTTGTGTTCCCTCTCTCTCTGTCTCTCTCTCTGTGTGTCAATTAAAAATAAATAAAATCTTTAAAAAAAAAAAAGAATTTATTTATAAAGGAGCCTCGAAGGACGTGCTCATAGAAAACATGTAAAAGCGTTTAATAAACAATAAAATCCTATGGATACTTTGCCGCCTTGCCTCTCACACTGGCTTGTACCAAGAGGTATCTGAAGCCACAGGACAAACGTAGCACATCTCCCCAGAGCCATATTCTCTAATATTTAAGGAAGGAAAATGTCTGCATTAAAACAAATGTTTATAATTATGAAATATGTACTTGAACCTCTGAGATAAAATGAGATTCTAGAGAAACACTGAGCTTTAGGTAAGCAGCCCCTTTCTGGGCTCAAGTACTCTGGAGGAAAGGTTTGAGAAGCCCAGATCTGCTAGATGAAGGAGAGTCAGTCTGATTTGAGGCCCTCCAGTCTGATCTTCCAAGGTCCCTTCCACTCCACTGACGAACTGCACATTCCCACTCCCACACCTTTCCCTCCAATGCACCTGGAGGTACCTCATCTTGCCAGTCCCCATCCCTCAAGGCCTCACTCCTATATCCCCTCTCTAGAAGACTTGCCAGGATCTTCTCAAGTGGGTACACATAAGATCTATACCTATCTTAGAAAGCCTAGCTGCCTGCACCTTCTGGTACCGGTATTTACAGATCCACTGTCCCCTGGATCTGGCCACAGCCCCTAGTGTGAAAAGCCCAGGTCTCACTCAGTGTGAGTTTCCCTCAGTGCCTAGTGCAGGGCCATGCTCCTTCCTCTCTGTTCACGCCTCCATGACATTCTTCACATGACAATCATGTTCATTCACTCACAGATATTTGCTGGGCAGAGAAATCATAACATGGTCCCTGCCCACCAGAAGCTCAGTCTACCAGGAAACAGTAACAGTCACTTCCAACAAGTCAAAGCCCTGTCTCCTCTGCTCGCCTACCTCCAGTGACAGGCAGCTCATGATCTAGCAAGGTAGCTGCTTCTCTTGTCGGTTGGCTCTATTTGAAAAAATGCATTCTCTTAAGTTGGAAAAACTGAGAAGATCCAAGTAAATGACTGAGGTTTTGTTTAAAAGTATCAACTGACTCTCACTCATGGTGGATTGTTCCCTTGTGTGTTTTGTAATTTTTGGATTATAAACTCATCTTCAGCAAAATTTTATCCTTGTGACTTGACAGCACTTTCATTTGTGTTTCTACAAGGCAACTCTTGGGTATTACAAGGTCATAACTACTTTTAATGTGAGTGCCTGAGCTTAGGGGGTCCCACAACCCCAAAGACATTGAGAACTTGAACCCCTAAACCCACGTAAGAGCAGGCCAATGATGACAAATTTCATTTTTCCCAGTCCAGAGTGCAGACCAAGCCAGAAAAGTTTCCTTGACATCTATTTGAGACCATGTATATATTTTTTCTAGATCACTCTTTTACTAACAGTAAAGCCTTTGGGTCCTGGCTTACATGGGCCTCTTAGTGCTAATGCCCTAGTGGGAGCAGGCCCTAAGCATCACCTCCTGTCCCTACGAGCTCAAGTGGCTTAGTGACTATGGTTACAACCTTTCCCCCTTCCCTCCCTACCGCAGGGCAAAAGAGCATCTTCTCTCACTTACCATTCTGGATTCTAGTTTTTTATTCCTTTTTGGCCCCTGGGGATTCCCCATTACTTTCTTGCAAGCTCAGCTATGTACTTAAAAAGATGTTTGTTATATTTTAGCAAGCATTTCTAGGTGTTCTGTAGTGGGATGCTTTCCAGGTTATCTATCTGCTATGCTACAGAAATGGAAGTCAGATCAGAGGTTCTATAAGGGCCACCACCTACACCTAGAGATCTTTCACCCATGCTCAGACCTGCCCTCTGTATCAGGCAATAGGAAAGGGCTCAGCAACCACGCACCCTGCCTGTGTGTGTCTCTCACTACCACCATGACTGCACAAGTCACCAAGCCTCTCCAGTCTCATTTCCCTCATCTATGAAATTCAGGTAACCACAGTACCTGCTTCTTGTTTCTTGTGTCTTGTGAGCATTAAAAAACAAAATATATGGAAGACATTGTCAAATGTGGCACTACCTACAAATGCTGTTGTCCTAGCAACCCAGGTCAGAAGCCCCTTCGTCCTTGTAACCTCCTCCTCTAACTGGAAATGATCCTTCCCTTCTCTGGTTCCTCACAGGAATTTCCTAAGCCATTTGCATCAGAGTTACTTCTGTGCAAGCCTAGGCTGCAAGCTCCTCAGTGGAGGCGACTTGGTCTGCCTCGTGCCTGTGTCCCCAGTTCCCAGCCTGGGTCTAGCACAAAGCAGGGCACCAGTAAAGCCATGTGAATGCTGCTCTGGAGTGCTCCAGCTGGGGGGCAGGGGGAGATAGACAGCGACAACACATGACAAAGGGATATGGAGCTGTGGGAGCCCAGAAGAGTCCTGACCCAGCCTGGGGTGGGGAGCGGGTATCGAGACTTGTCAGGGAAGGCTTTCTCAGGGAGGTAACACTTGAGCAGAGCCTTAGTGGATAAGATTGGATGGGAAGAGGAGCTATGTGGGCAAAGCAAGAGAAGGGTTGATAGTCAGAGAGAATGGCATATGCAAAAGCGCGGAGCAATCATGAGCGATGACCATCTGGGGAAAAGGCAGGTGGCTCAGTGTGCCTGAAGCACAGGATGGGCCAGAGGAGGTGATGGGACACAGGCAGAGACCAAACGATGGGGGGGCTGCCATTAACCTGTGTTACAGCCTTGAGCAAGGCCCAAGCCAGCAATCTTTTTGGAGCGGGGCAAGGAAGCAGGGGGGACAGCGTCACTCACCTTAATGGCCTCCATGACAGGCTCGTACAGATCTGGGAAGCCTGGGAACCGGAAGACCATGCAGTGGACCAGCTCCGCTAGCTGCTCCAGGCAGCTGGTCCCCGAGTTGGAGTCCTCCTTGACCAGAGAGGCCACCATGGGCGGGATGTGAGGGAGGAGCTATGAGAGCAGAGCACGATTAGGCTCAGGACCATTTACCACCCGAGACAGGGGTTGGTGGGCAGAGCTGAAGACACCCTGAGCTCCTCACAGCAGGAAGGTCTGACCACCTGGCCACTGTCCCCCTTGCCTACACACAGCTCTGTGCTAGGGAGGCGAGTGACTCTTTGTACAGGACATGTGAGCTTGGACCTGCCTCAGTCTCTTAGTCTGTTAAATGGGATAAACAATTCCCTCCTCACAGTTGAGGTGTGGCCTGGGCCCAAGCCCCAGCTGTTAAGCCAAGCCAACTGGCCTGCCAGGAGCACCTGAGGCCTGAGTGACCAGGGTAATTCTTCTTTCTACCACCCTTCTTTCACCAAACATTTACCCGCCCAACACTTCACCCTCACAATGACTTTATTCAGCAATTATCATCCCCATTTTATAGATGAAGAAACTGAAGTTAGAGATGTTATATAATTTACCAAGAACTACCCCCATGTGTTATAGGAGAAGCTGATGTCTGAAACAAAGCTGTTTTCCTCTGGCCTATGGAGTGCTTTCAAACCCACGGGGTGCTCTACCGTAACATCCCAGGGATAAACAGAGTCAGCCCACAGGAACTGGGAGTACGGAGCCCAGGAGAAGGATGGGAAGAAACAAGTATCTATCTGGTCCCTAGTATGCAGCAGGCTTTTGACAAATATCACCTCATCTAACCCTCTCCCACCATCCTGGGGGCTTACCCTGTTCCAAGCCCTGAGAGGTAAGTGCCTGGCCCAAGGTCATCACATCTGGCAAACGACAGAGATGGGACTCAACCTCCAGTACCCCAATCCCTGGTTCTGCGCTTTTCCCACTGCAGCAAATTAGAAAGCATGAAATTTCTGCCCTGACCAGGAGCCATCAGAATCTAGGGCCCCATCTGCAGGTCAGGTATGGGGAAAGGAAGGCAAGAGGGTAGGCCCTCCTTCCCTTCCCCGCCCCCCGACAAGAACTACAGGCTGTCCTTCCCAAAGGATGGCCCCAAAGATAACAGAAAGGGCCCTGAGCTGGAGGCCAGGCCATGTGGGTGCTGGTCGGCAGCAGGGTATATCGGAAGGACACTGGGTCAGAAGTCAGACCAACTTAGTTAGAATCTTCCCTGTATCGCTCACCAGTTGTGTGTCTGGGACAAATGATTTCGCCTCCCTCACCTGAAGTTTCCTCAGCTGAAAAATGGAAAAAATGATAGAATTCTCCCTCTTAGGGCTGGACTGAGAGTTAACACATGTACTGTCTTTAGTACCGTGCCTGCCACACAGCAAGCCCCTAAGCAACATTAGCTGTCATCATTCTAGGGCTGTCACTCTACCATGGGCCGGTGGGGAAGCCATACACATTCTCTGGCCTTACTCTCCTATCTGGAAAATGGAGTTTCAAGTCTCCTCCAGTCCTAACATCCAGGACTTCAAGGTCTTGGGCTTCAAACCCCCAACCCAATAGAGACAGCATGTCTGGACTCCAGCCAAACCAGTGGAGGATGGAGGACCGGCCCTCCACAGGGCAGCACATAGGGCCCTTACCAGGTGGAAGGCCTCATGGGAGTGCTGGAAGGTCAGGAGCATGTACTTGAGGACAGACAAGGCAGCTCCCCGGACAATGGGGTACAGAAGCTTGGAGAAAACCTGGAAGAGAGTCCCTGGTCAGGAGTTCCCCACGCCTGGGCCTCAGAGACTAAGTGCAGCCACAGACCTGAGAGGTGGTCAGACACACCAGAGTTGAAACAGCAGACCCATGCAGAACCAAGAACACAGATAGTGTCACAGACCTAGGTTGATGGACAGATGGACAGCAAGACAGATATGTGATGGGAGGGATGGAGAGACAGACCAAAAGTGACACACATTCTTGAGCAAGCAGAGGAATGAATGGGGGAAATCTGAGGCCCAGACAGGTACAGAGAATTGTCCCGGGTCACAGCAAGCCTGGGTGGGAGCCCCAGTGCCCTGCCTCCCAGGCCCACACTGTCCCTGGCAAAAGCTAAGTGGGAAAAGCCATAAGCCAGGGCTAGGACAGAGGCCCACCAACCTTCTCAATTTTGGCGAGTGAAACTTCAATCAAGATGCTGAACTTCTTAACAGCAGCCAGGCCCTTCAACAGTGCGATGATCCACTTGTCAATGTTCTTCCCCAGGGGCCACGACACCCAGTCGATCATCCTGGAGAGGGAAGCGACAATGACACAAGGACCAGGGAGGCCCAAATGCCTGGGTGGGGGCATCCCAGGAACAAGCTATAATGTCCTGAGACCCCCACACTGACCCACACCTGCACAGAGCAGCCCTGGGGTCCCTGGAATGGACAAGACACCTCTGAGAACTGCCAATGAGCCCAGCATGGGCATCCGGCAGAGACTGGGGCTCCCCAGCAGGAGGGGAGCCAGACCCTCTCAACACCCTAAACCTCACCCCACACACTAGGCTGCAGTGGTAGAACAAGGCTTTCAGCCGCCTCTGCCTGGACCATGGGGCCCAACAGCAGGAGCAGCACTGCCCCAACCCCCGCCATGCTGGAAGCTTTGGCTCCAGCAAACCCTTGCTTGTGACCTAGAACAAGTCACCTTCTCTAGCTTCGGTTTCCTCCTCTGCAAAATGGGGACAATACCTACCTCACAGAGTCGTTATATGAATTAAAAGACGTGCTAACAGTTAACTCTCACAGTATTCACTCTGCACCACGCACTACTTCATCTGCCTTACATGTATTAACCCATCTGACCCCCACAAGTTAATGGTTCTGTGCACAGAGCATGAAGCTGCCACATAGTACGTGCTCAGGAAAATGGCATTACGTCATTACTTTTACACTCATAAGACTATGCTATAAAGAGAGAGAACAATGACAGACCAAAGCAATAGTAATTATGATGATACTAGCTACCATCACTGCTCTAAACACTTTACATTATCTCATTTTATCTAATCTTTGCAATAACCCTGTTAAGATGGATTCAATTACACTACATTTTATAAATGAGGAAGCAGAGGCCTACAGAAGTGGAGTAACTTGCCCAAAGTCACACAGACAAGAAGTAGTAGAGCCAGGATCTGCACCCAACCAGCTTACCTCTAGAGCCCACACTCTTATGCACTAAAGACAAGAAATCCAAGAAGGCCTAATGGAGATGCACACAGGTATGGAAAGCATGGTGGGGGAGGCATACCAGGTGAATAGGATCTACAAAGCCAAAGGCCTGTAGGCAGGAGGGAAGGCAGCATATTCTGGGATCAATGGATAGGCAGGTGTGGCTAGATCACAGGTGTGATGACATTCAAATGAGGTGGGGGAATGTGCAAAAGCTGAGATAAAAAGCACCCAAATTCCATTTATCATACCTGCCAAACTCAAGAAGCACTCTGTAACATACTTTCAGCTTCTAGTATGGCCCCATGGAAGCCTGACAACTCCTTATACCATCTTTGTTATTACAGGGGGGGAACCTGAGACTCAGAGAGTTCACTGACTTGTCCAGGATCACACAGTTGGCACCCAACCTGAAAGCATCGCTAGGGAAAGGTTCTTTGCATCTCCCACATCCAGCCCTGGGCCAGGCACAGAGCAGGGCTCAAGAAAGGATGGACGAATGAAAAAAGCATGAGGTCCTGGGCCTTCTGACACTAAATCTAGCCCACAACCCCACCCAGTGGAAGGAGGGAGAGACACCTAACCACCACCCAGCCCTCAGCCCACCTGCTGATGGCAGTCAGCATCTGAGAGTCTGTCACACTGTCATCATTGCTGAGGTTCCGGACGACGCCGTCCATAAGCTCCAACGGGAGGTGCTGAACCACGCTGGCCAGGGCGCTAGATGGTGGCTCCTCCTCTGGAACGGTGTGGGGGCTGGGATGAGCTTAGCAAGGCAGGTAGGCTCCTCACCACCCCCAGTCCCCCATGCCCTCATGCTGCCAAGGAACGAGACCAGGCTTCTGCAAAGAGCACATGGGGGCCACCTCCTCACCTCCTACAACATCACAGCCTCCCATCCCACCTTAGCTTATTTGCCCAACAAACCTTCACTGCCATGGCTTGGGGCCCAGCCCTTCACTGAGCAGACAAAAGCACTGACCCCCCCTCCCACCTGTCTCTGAACAGACAAGGTCTATAAGAAAGGGTAACACTGGAGCTGGCAAGAACAGGTAGAAGAACAGGTGTGTTTCCAGATGGAAACACACACAAAGGCCTAGAGGTGAAAAAGAGCATTTAGTTATCAAAATGTGTTGTCCAATTGGATAAGTGCTTATACACCGGGGCTTGGTTCTTTCTGCTTTCTCTTCCTTTCAACTGAATAGCCCTATAATCAAGTAAGGCACAGATAATTCTTTCGCTCATTTATAACTGTAGCCCAAGTACCACAGTTGTTAGTGGAGGACCGGGAGTTTACATTTCAGAGTTGAGATGTACAGGCTCCATCACGTGTCCAGAACTTGGCCTCTGCCTGCCCTGAACACCTTGCCCCTGCTGTTGCCCAGCTCTCAAAACCTGAATCAAAAGTCACTTCTACAAAACCCACCTGACCCAAAGGGCATGATGACATCCCCACCCCCACTCCACCCCTTTCTGTTCTCAGTCGGCCCCAGTCCCCCTTCTGGCCAGCTTGATCTGGGTCCGCTCCTCCTTATGTGCCCAGCACCCACCACAGGATAGTTCTCAGTGCACGAGCTCAGGACAGCCCTGCTAATTAAGGAACATCGCATTCCCCCACCTGTGCATTAGCCCCTCACACGCACACCTGCCATACCTGACACGGGCACGCCAAGCACAAGACCCTGCACGTGCAGTCACCCGCCCGGCGCACATCCAGCCCCTGGCGCGCACGCGCCCCTGCCCCAGCCCGGCCCCAGCCCACACACACCTGTGCAGGAGATGACGGCGAACAGCTCCTTCAGGCAAGGCAAGATGGCGGCGGGCTGGGCACGCCACAGCTGCGCCAGGAGCCCGCTCACCTGCTGGGCCTGCTCCAGGAACTCCACGGCGCCCTCCTCGCCCTCAGCGGGGCAGCGGAAGCGGCCGAGGCAGCGCACCAGCTGCTGGCAGAACAGCAGGCGGTGCGGGCCGTCGGGGACGCAGCGCGGGTGTCGCGCCAGCAGCCGCGCCACCTGAGCGCAGACGGCGGGCCCCGGGCGCTCGCACACGGTGCGCAGCACCTCCCGCCGCAGCAGCGCGAACACCTCGTCAGCTGCCGGCCCCTCTGGCAACAGCTGCAGGCCCAGCTGCACGCAGGCGAGCGCGCGGGCGCCCGGCGGGCCAGCGCCCCCCTGCAGCAGGCGAAGCACGCGGCGCGCGCTGAAAAACTCAGCGAAGACGTCGGGGTGGTGGCGGCCGGCCACGTGCAGCAGCTGGCAGCCCACGCGGCGGGGCAGCTCGTCGGCTCCGCTCACGTAGAGGCGCGCGCCCAGCGCCAGCAGCGCCAGGCACTGCTCCCGCTCCAGCGGCTGCCGCGCCGCCTCCAGCACGCGCCGCACCAGCCCCTGCTTCACGCTCGCGGGGTACGAGGACGTCACCACCGCCTCCAGGATCTTGTCCATGGCGCCACGCTGCAGGAGACAGGGAGCACGGTCACACTCGGCCCATCCGATCCAGTGCCCCAAGGGGGCCCCTGCGTAAGACCTGGGGCGAGCAACCACCTTTCTGGGCCTCCATTTCGTCACCTGTGAAATGGGGCGAGGAAACCTCACGGGGAGGTATAGGAATGAAGTAAAGGGCAATGCCTGGCCTGTAATGAGGCCCCAGGGAGTTGTGGTTATTGATGATGAGCGTCTTTAATTTCACGAAGGCAATATCTCAACCTTCCACCCCTTACCCTACTCTTTTGCCCTTCTCTCCCCAGGCCGCCCTGGTGACCTCATCCACTCGTGGGGCTGGTAGAAGCTGGTTATAGAAGCTGTTGTCCAGAATCTTGGCCAAGTCCTGTCCTGTCGGGGAAGATGAGAGGGGACATACACAAAATCACACCTCCAAGGAGGGAGGGTGGGCAGGCTTAGGGTCCCAAGGAAGGATCAACAGGGAGATCCCTGCACACTTTATTCTGCCCCAAATCAACTTCTTGCTGTTTTCCAAGTGATCTACACCTTTCTAAGGCTCCACTTCTTTGTGTATGCTGTGCTTTTTGCCCGAAACATCCTATCTCCCCAGACCTACACCACCCCATCACACACATAGCCAAACTCCTGTTTTCCTTAAAGCTTACCTCCACCACGCTGTCTTCAAATAGAACATCCCTCACCCTCCGTTCCTACAGCCCCCTGTGGCTTATTTCTCCATCACAGCTGGGATCCCATAATTCCCTCCAATGAAGCAGAGCTTATCATGTCTGCGGCCTGCCCTGCCTCCAGACCTAGCTCCACAGCCTTGCACACTCAAGGCCCTGCCTGCCCACCCCTCCCCAGCCTGAGTCCACACCAGCCCCTCACTCTCGACTCACTGTGTTCTCCCTGCCACTGGGCCCTTTGATATGTTCTTCCCTCCCCTCCTTGCTTGACTCACCCTGGAGATTTCAGCGCAAACTCACTTCCTCAAGGAAGCTTTGCCTAACCTCTGTTTGGATCAAACATGCCTGTTAACAATTTCAGAGCTCTTGTCCTCCTTTATGGCACTTATCATGATTCCTTGGTTGGAGTCAGCCTCCTTCACTGTAATATATAGGTAGGTTCCTGAGGGCTGGAACCATGTCAGTTTTGCTCATTCACCTAGGCCAGTACCTGGCACATAGTAGGCATTTGTTGAAGAAGCAAATGCAAAATACGGTGTGAGTTACTGCTACCTTATTCCTCTGAGCATAGTAGCCTTCCCTTTGCCTTTCCTCTCCCTTCGGGCGGTTTCCTGGAAGCCTTTCTCCCAAGCTGACCCACTTTTACTCCCTGATTTTCATGCTGGTTCACAAAGGTAAAGCTTGTTTTAATATCCAACTTTCAGCTCCAAGAAGACAAGGCCATTTCTTCTTTGTATAATCCCACTCTAGGCAGGACCTGATATAAGGTTCAGCATACAGTAGGTGTTTAAACTTATTGGCTTGGTAAAAATTATTGAGACCTGGAGTTGGTGTGAAGACAAGCCATACATTTACTAGATGAGAGGCCAGAAACTTTTATTCAGAACCACAGATATTGTGCGACCCAGACTCTGTGCTAGGCCCTATGGAGACATTCCGTGCTCTGTCCTAGCTCTTGGCTGAGACCAAGCTTCCATTTATTGCATGTGTTAAAAGCAATGGGTCCATTTGTCCGTCTCCCTCACCAGGCCGTGAGTTCCTTAGGGCAGGGACTAGGACTTACTTCTCAATGGCTAGCATCTGAGATTACTGGGGGTGAAGCCAGAGTAGAGATCAGTGGTTCCCAAACACTGGCTTGGCTGCCTCAGAACCACCTGGTAACTTAGCACAAATTCATATGGCCAGGGCCCACTCCAAGCCTCCTGGAATAGTGTGTTACTCTTTTTACTCTGAATGAGATTCATCTGGAAATGACGTCCGGTTACCATCCCTATTACTTATGCTCTCTGAGTCTGTTTCCACCCTGCAGAGTTGTTGTTAAAACAAATATAAAGTCCTCGGCATGGTGCTGGGCACAGGGAAGTGCTCAATGAATCAGTCCCCTTCGCTTTAGAAGCAAAGCCCTTGCCCTTAGGAACTTCCAGTCTGGTGGTGGAGGCAGACGTGTTGGTAAAGAGTACCAACGCAAGGCATAATCTCAAAGGCCTTTAAACAGGTCTTTAAAAAACTGGTCTCCCTTCATTCCTGGTCTTCTCTTTCCTAGGCAATGCTTGTGACCAAACTCCCTTGTAGACCATCCTTGCAAATCCCTACCCCTGCCCTCCAGGCTAGTGGACTTAATATGCTTTCAACGCAGGATGCCAAGAAATCCTGTTATTCAGGCAGCCAAGAAAAAACCATAATCGATGGGATATTGACATCATGTGTGGAGGAAGAGGGCCTGGGGGCAGGCAGAAATGGGGTTCTAAAACTAGGGAAGGTTCTGGAAATGGAAAGAAAAACAGACCAGGAATGGCGAGTCCTAAGTTCTAGTGTGACCTTGGGCAAATTATTCTATTATTCTAGTCTTGCAACTCATTATGTGACTTCAGCAAATCACATCATGAGCCTCTTTTCTGTTCTGTAAAATGGGGATAAGTGATATCCGGTTGAACCACATGCAAGCAAAGGAGCAGATGTTGGCAATTTCCTATCAGTCTACCTGATACCTTTGCACCTGGCAGCTGGAGGCCCAGCAGTGGTGCCCTTCTGTGAGGGCTGTGATCTCCGAGGCCAGCCATGCAGCCTCCGTGCAGTCCGTGGCCCGGCCACTGCAGGCAAGCCCTGCCTACCTGCCCCCTCCCCATGCAGGCAGTCTGAGGTCAGCTGTCACCATAGTCATCAACCAAACCCACTCAGTATCTTGGGTGCGTTCATGAAAAAGGGTTTTAGAGGCTTGGAGCTCACCTGACCTCATCACAGGCCACAGAAAGAAGGTAGGACAAGGCCTGATTTCCCTAGGGCACACATGGGAACATGGAGGATCAAAAGAGGAGAGGGACGCAGCCTTGACAGGGTGGGATAAGAACCTGCACTTCGTCTCCCTGGGGGAGGAAGTAGCAGACCACCAGCATTCCTCAGGGGGAGGCTGGAATTATTCCTCTAGGCTCTGCACAAGGAGACGGCCTGTTGACACTGGCTCTGACCCAAGAGACAGCTGCCCCGCACCAGGCTCAGCAGCACACAGCAGCCATATCCTTCCTTAGAAAAGCCCGCATGAAAAGCAGGAGACCCAGGTTCTCTGCTTCTGAATCACCAGGTGACCTTGGGTGAGTCCCTGCCAGGCTCCTCAGCTGTTTCACCTGGAAAATGGAGACTATTTCAGCCCTGACAGGGAAGGGGACAAAGTATAAAAAAGATGAGGGCCGGGGCAGTCATGAGTCTATTCTTGGGCCATCTGGCACCAAGTGGAGAAATAGACACTGTCAAGCAAGGAGACAAGCAGACACACACTCCTGATCTCGCGGATTCTACCAGGAATTTCAGCTCTCACTGCCAACTTAGTATTTCCACTGTCTCGCCCTGAGCTCCAGCAGCACCCAGGATCAGCTCCTCTTGCCTGGACTAGTGCAGTAGCCTTCTAACCCCATCTCCTCATTTCCTCCCTCAATCCATCCTCCAGTAGAGGTACGTGTTCTGCAGAATAGAGTCCAGCCTTCGAATCTAGCCCAGGCACTATGCCCCACAGTGCCCAAAGCCTTGAGGCAGGTGCTCTTTCACGGTTCTGAGCCTCTGAGCCCCCAAATGGGAGATGACCACCTCACCACCCCTTAGCCTTTCCCAGCCAATCCTGCTGCTCTTCCCCTGAGCCCTTGGTTTATAATACCTCTCATTGCTGGCATGACAGCCTGAGAGTCTCAGCAACACCCAGTCTGCTCCAGGGCACACAGTAAGCATATAGGAACATCACAATCCCTCCCCTGGGAGGCCCAGACCCCTTTATCTGTCCCTTTTGGATGACCCTCCACATTTCCACTGTGTATTGACAGGTATCTGTTTCTGCATGGTGAAGCGTGACTCATCTCCACCACCCCCAAAGCACCGTGTGTGTGTGTGTGTGTGTGTGTTTGTGTGTGTCCAATGCCCTGCCCCCACACCCTGGGTCCGAATTCAGGCTTCTCACATCCCTCCCAGGTCTCTGTGACCCACTCTGCAAACATCGTCTGATTAATCTCATTAGATGATAAGGTCCATCTTGCCATGCCCTCCTCAGAACTCTCAAGGCTCCCCAGCCCCTTCAGCATAAGATCTGAACTCCTGAGCTTGACATTCAAGACCTTTCTGTGACACTTGGCTGATGGGGGGCAGGGGTGGACATGAACTTGACAAACACTGTTTGGCAACAAATCTGAAGGAATATGGGCAGTGGGCTTTTCCTGCTGCCCACCTTTTGGTGATGTCCTCTCTGCTGGGAAAGGCTTTTCCCTCTTCTGGCAAAATCTGACTCATTCTCCAAGGCCCAGGTCACATGCCCCCTCCTCTGGGAAGCCTTTCCTAACCCCCCTGCAGTCCAAGTCTCTGAGCTTCTCAAGGCCCTCTTTGCTTTTCTCATCCCTCAGCAGTGTCACTGGATTCTATGTCTATCTCCCTCACCAGGCTGGGATCTCCTTTCGAAGGAGGTCCAATCCCCTATCTGTGCTTAGCACAGGACCAGGCACAGAGGCGAAGGAGTGCTAAGTGGCCAATGGAAGATATGTGACAGCAAGATGAGATAAAACTAAAGCTGTCACCAGAAAAACACCTTCCAGGGCCTGGCCCAGTCACTGCCCTCTCGTCTGCCAGGTCTGGTCCTGCATATCCATAACCCTGAGACTCAAACATTAGCCAAGAAAGTCCCTACTGAGGTCACTGGACAGGACTGAGTGAGCATTTAGCCATTTAGAAATGACTCAAACAACCAAAACTGAAGAAAAGAAAAACAAAAACTGTTCCTGTTTAGCCTTCAGGTTAAAAGCTCACAGAATCTCCCAGGACAGGGAGGGGCCTTCAGGAAGGTCTCACTCAACCTCTCCCTACCCTAGAGCACAGTGGACCCTCCAAGCCCCAACTTAGCACCTAAGAGCTGAGGAGCCCATTTATTCTCCTCTCTGACCCTCACATCCAGTCGACTCCTCTGACTCCCCTGGGTGCCAGAGCCGCCTGGGGAGCACTAAGTGTCCCTCCCAGCAAGCCCCCACCCAAGTCTCTGGACAGCAGCATCTGAATTTTTATAACTGGATTTCTTCTACCCAAGGCAGCCCTGGGAAGGATCCCCTTGCCCTCCTACTGGGAGGCCCTTGTCTGGGCCACCAAACTGTCACCTAGAAAGAAAAAAAAGAAAGAAAAAGAAGAAAAGGAAAGAAAAGAAAGAAAGAAAAGGTTTTACTGGTAAAAAGCAACTGCTCTTTAACTGAAGGGGAATGAGAGGAGAGAGAGCATGTATTTCCTTCTCAGGAACCCACCACAATCACCCATCCCTGCTGGGGCCACCCCTCACGTACTTAAGATAGCCACGTCCCCACCCCCACACCAGGCTTTCTGGAAGGGTGGGCACCAGCCTAACACAAGGAGTCTTAAGTCTTGTAGGGGGAGTACGCCCGGGCGAGGATGCTGAGAAGAGCAAAAGCCCATTCCAAGCGGTTGCAACCTCTTGGCCCCCCAGTTTGTGCCCTATCTTAACCCCACCCCTCCTTTCAGTTATACCAGTGCACTGTCGCCCAGCCCAGGCTGGAGCTGCAGACCCCACGAAAGGCCGGTGAGCTTCATTGTATTGGGGGAGAGGGAGGGATCACCTCCAAACACAACTGATGACGGAGGTGGAAGCCCAGAGAGGGGCATCTACTCGCCCAAGGTCACACAGCGAGGCCCAAGATGCACCTAGACCTCCCTTCTCCCAGCCCCAAACTCTCAGAGCCCTTCGCGGGTGCCCAGGGCTCTCGAACCGCCAGGGTGCAGACACTCCCTCCCCATAACCTGCACACACGCCCCCAGCCCCCTTACCTCTGGGACCCCGGTGGCCCCGGCCTCAGAGCCGGCTTCTGGGCGGGGCGCTCAGGCCTGGCAGGACTAGGCTAGGCCAGGCTAGGTCAGGGCGAGTCCTCTGCTCCCCCTGGAGTGGGGACACCCTCCGCCAGGTCCCAGCCGGCAGGGATGCTGCTTTCACTGCAAAGTCCAAACTCCCCACCCAGCTCTGCACAAGCTTGAACCCAGGGATCCCGAGTCAGCCGCGCTGCCGCTGGGCTGCCGGGCTGCGGGACGATGCGTGGGGAGGGGCGAGGTGCGGGAAACGGGGAGGAGCCGGAGCGGGGGCCACCCCGCGAACCGCCACTCAGGCTGCGTCCCCTTTAAGACCAGCCGGTGTGAGCTCCGGCCCGGGCGAGGCGGGGAGCTGGAGGGCTCGCTACAATGCCTCCTGGGAGATGGAGTTTGCGCTCGGCGTGCCGTGCCGCAAAGAACCCATAGAGAACTACAAGTCCCGGAGAGCTGCGCGCGGCTCCCGCGCCGCCCCGCCCCTGGGCTGGGCTCCGGCCCTCCTCCCCGCCTTGCAAAGCTGCGCTGGCCGCCCGTGGAGGGGAGGCTGCAGAGCGAGGGCAGGAGGTGGGTGCGGCGCGGCCGGGGACGCGGGGCTCAGAGACAGCCGGTGAGGGGACGCGGGCCCACCTGGCACCTGTCCTACTATGAGAGGTCATCTTACCTACCCTAGCCTCGCCATTCTCATCTGTGCAATGGGGATGGCAACGCTAGAGGCTGCGGGGGAGGGGGCGATTATTGGGGAGAGGGGGCGGAGCTGGTGGAAGGAGTCTGGATGGACGGGGAAGGTTGGAAAAGCCCGGATAAAGAGGGTCGAGACTGTGGGAGGAGTCTGGTGGGTGGGGTAAGGAGGGGCGGAGTCTCTAGGTGAGGAGGAGAACTCGGGTGAGGTCGGAGAAACGGGTGGCCCTGGCTGGGGAGTGAGTGCTGAGAAAGCCGATAAGGCAAGCCTCGGTTAGACTGGTTGGAATGGGCCAAAAAGCACTGGAGAAGGTGGGGCAGAGACACAAAGATGAAAAGGATCCTTCACAGCCTTGGAAAGCCCAGGGTCGGCCACGCGCTGATATGGTTTGGGTACCGCGTTCCCTGAGTGGGCAAACACCCGTGAATGCACAGAACACCTTCCCTCCCTTGTGATAGAAATAAAGAGCCCATCCCTTGAACTCAGTGCGTCACACACATGATCTCATTCAACTCTCATACACTGTAGAGGCATCGCCGTATCTGTTTACAGGAGTAAAGTAATCTGGAGTGGATGGCAGGAAGAAACAAAAGTTTAGATGTCTTGCCCTATGCAGGTTGTGTGACAGGACCAGCTTCAACCCTTCTGAGTGCCAACCTGTAAGGCAACCCTCCTATTGATATTGTGAGGATGTAATGAGGAGATACATTTTAATTGTATAAATTATCATGGTTGTGAGAAGCAGGAAGGCCATAAGGAAGAGAGTGGTTGAAATAGAGTGCTTGTGCCTGAGGCAAACCACAAGATGAAATCTGAGAGTAAGCTGAGAGGATGAAGGAAAATTCTGGAAGGGGATGGGGGATGGTAGTGGTGGTTGGGAGTGTGCACCAGGTAAGAGAATACTCTGCTGTGGCCAATGGGCAAGTCAGGTTGCCAGGTGAAGTGGCTTCCCTCCTTCAGCTGGGCAGCTCACTGCAGGGTCCGCATCACCTGAGTGCAGACGGCACCTTTTCCCATTGCAGTGTGGGTTATGGGGTAATGGAGCTGCCTGTGGGCTTCGTAGAGATATGAACTGGGCAATACAGGACTGAAGACACAGCTGTTGGGTGTGGGGAGGCCAGGAAGGGAAGGTGAGGGGCAGTGCTCCCATACAGTCCCCAAGCTGTGAGCCAGTTTTTATCCTGGTGGATTGTGGGGGCGGGGAGGAGTCTCATCTGGTTTTCCTGGGAGACACATTACTCATTCTGAGTATTGTCACCCTTGAAATTTACCCAGCCATATTCAATCTGTCTCCTACACAGTGGGAATTCCTACATTCACTTCCACGTGGTCACCTGGGCCTTGCCTTAGATTCCAAATTGAAACTTAAAGAAAGTGTTTTAAAATAAAAATGTTTTAAAATGCAGGAAATGGTCATAACCGCCCCCCCCCCCAATGGTAGATGTCAGTCTAGGGTGAGGAAAATGGATCTGACTAAGCAGGGGAAGAAATTTCTTCCCCTTCTCCTACTCTGCCCGCTTCAGGGGATACAGAGAGGGGAGATCCCAGCCCCAACAGGATGGTCAGGCACCCATCTACTCAGGCAAAGCAGGCTTTGGTAAAGGATGGAAAATAAAATGCTCTGGAGATGGAGAGAAGGAAGGAAGGAAGGAATTCCAGCTGAAGGGCCTGGCAGATGAATGGGATTTTCCTTCAGAGTGCAGGCAGAAGGGATGGCCGGTACCAAATTGCAGAGATAGGAGAGGGCGTGGCATGGTTGGTCTCTAAAGTAGGGAGAGTAATAGTATCTACTTCATTTATGGAATCAACAGACATAAAGTGCCCAGCATAGGGATAACTGCTCCTAAATGTCAGCCATTATCATTACTGCTGTAGATACAGTCACCATCAATCGGGGAGTTGGCCCAGGCCCACACAGCTAGTACAGGCCCAGGTGATGCCAAAGCCCCTCCACAACATTTCTGAGGCTCAGAATGGGTCCCTCTTTGTGACCATTCTTGGTGAGTGTAACAGGAGTTTCTTTCTTGCTGTAGTAGCAGAGACTCTGGGTTTCAGGAGGAGGCGAGGGAAGCAAGGCCTGAACAGCCATCTTGTCCCAGCCTGCGTCCCAGCACAGAGACAGGCAGGCCTCGTGCTGTGCTTTCTGTGAGTGGTGGTTCTTTGGGGAGATACCATGCAGGTTTAACTTCTATCTCCACCACCAACTGTGGGCTCTTTTAGCTTCGCCCTGGTTCGCTACCTCATCCTCCACAGCACAGCAGTTCGTGGAGAGGAGAATGACCAGATTATAATGCTTCTTGGGAGTAGTAATAACAAACCTGTTTGTTGAACCTGGCTATTTATTGGGGCCGGGCACTCTGACTGGAATTTTACATCTGTTGTCCTATGAGGGAAGCATTCTTTTCTTCCCCCTTTCAAAATAAAAATATTTTTAGAACTTTCAAGGCTGCAGGAAATTTTAAAGGGTGGCTTTTCACCTAGCTACACCAATTCACCCTTTGCTGACTTTGCTTTTATCCACACAAACACACCATTTTGCTGAACCGTTTAAAAATTACAGATGTCTTGACACCTGTCCCCTAAATTCTTCAGCATGTATCCTCATTACAGAATTCTCTGACATGACCATAATACCATTCTCATACCTAAGAAAATTTGAAAGAAGTCAGTATTTAATAACCAGTGGATATTCAAATTTCTCCAACTGCCAAAAAATAGGTAGTTTTTTTTACAAGATGTAGTCAAGATTCATGCGTCGTATTTAGTTCTATCTCTTTAAGCATCTCATTTAACCTAGAAAGAGCCTCCTCAACCTGTGTTAAATTTGGGTTTGAGTATTTTATCAATGATCAGATTCAGGATTTTTTTTTTCTTTCTCACAGTGCTGTATACTTATTGCATCACATCAGGAAGTGTATGATTTCAGGGTCCTACTGTCCATGGATGCTAAATTTGATTGTTGGTTAAGGACACGACCACCTGATCTCCCCATCTCTGTACTTTTTCCCACTGTAACTAGTCTTTGGGGTGATTCTTTGAGAAGGTCGAAATTGTGTGTTCCCTATACCTTTCACTACATCCATTGATGATTCTTGCCCGAATTGCAACATTGAGGGTTGCAAAATGGTGATTTTCTAATTATGCCATTCTTTCTGTTTATCACTGGTATTCTTTGTTATAGAATAATTTTTTCCTCTGTGTATGTGTCTTTCTCACTCTCCCTGTCTTTTTTTCTTCTTGGAGTGACATAGACTCATGTTTTTTTTTTTTTAATTCAGTGTGTAATATAGCCCATTATCATCATTAATCTTTTTTGGTACTCAAATTATTCCAGATTTGGCCAAGGAGAGTCCCTTCAGGCCAGCTCCTGTGTTGTGTTGTGTTTTGTTTGAATTGAGATATAAATCACACATTTGATATATGTATATATTGTGAAATGATTACCATGATGAGTTTAGTTACCATCCACCACAACACATAGTTACAAAAATAGTTTTTTTTCTTTTGATGAGAACTTTTAAGATCTCCTGTGTTCTTCTGACAGGATCTCATTAATCTTTGATTGCTTCTTTGCTATCTGGCAAGAGCTGTTCCGGGCTCACCTTGCACTTTTTCTGTCAAAGTCCTGGAATCATCAATTTCCCCCAGGAATCCCTGGTTTCTTTTTGTAGGATTTAACATTTAGAAACTAAGATCTGGGGCCAGGTGTGTTCATTGCTACTGGACTATCATTTCTAGGCTCTTTGAGCAGAGCTAAGAAATGATGAATGGATGAATGGCAGGTATAGAAATAATTATCAGTAGATTTACTGTTGTTGCATCTGGTCCTCACTATGTAGAAGGAATAGATTGCATGGCAAGTGGTGTCATTATGGAAGCTCTGTGGGCAGTAATGTAGGAAATTGCACAGAAAGCCCATGCCTCTTCCAGGACTCCATGAGTATACAGACTATTGCCTCAAACCTCTGTGGCTGGGTTCAGTCTCTTGCTCAAGACCCAGATTAAAGAAGAACCCAGGCTGCCTCCAAAGGACTGGTTCTCTGAGGAATGTCCAAGCCCAGAACCTCCTCTCGGTCATGACTCAGAAATCAAGAATGTATAGGAAGCCCTGGGCCAGGGATTTATTTTCTCTGCGTTGGTGAAATAAAAATAATGTGATATGTCCTGCCAGGGTCCCAGAGTTATTGTTTTAAGGATCAATATATATATATTTTTTAATTGCTAATCAGTCTTTTCAACACATATATTACAAAGTTCCTTCTCTTTTTTATTGTTTTAATACCACGGTTTGAAATGTCATTGCTTTATAGTCCTATTTAATGCATTACTAGTAGTTACTAGTTATCTAATGTTTAAGGTAATTATTCTTTTTCAAATATTCTTTCAGGTTATCACTCATCAAATTTATCAAAGTAAGATTTTAATCTTCTTTTCACTTAAATTCAAATAATTAACATACAATGTATTATTGGTTTCAGAGGTAGAGGTCTGTGATTCATCAGTTGTATATAACACCCAGGGTTCATCACATCACATGCCCTCCTTAATGCCCATCACCCAGTTACCCCATCCCCCACCCCCTCCCCTCCAGCAACCCTCAGTTTAAGAGTCTCTTATGGTTTGTCTCCCTCTCTGATTTCGTCTTGTTTTATTTTTTCCTCTCTTCCCCTATGATCCTCTGTTTTGTTTCTTAAATTCCACATATCAGTGAAATCATAGGATAATTGTCTTTCTGTGATTAACTTATTTCACTTAGCATAATACCCTCTAGTTCCATCCACGTAGTTGCAAATGGCAAGATTTCAATTTTTTTTTAAAGATTTTATTTATTTATTTGAGAGAGAAAGTGTGCCCAAGTAGGCAGAGCAGCAGACAGAGGGAGAGG